TGTGTGTGTGTGTGTGTGTGTGTGTGTGTGTGTGTGTGTGTGTGTGATACATTTGTAGAAACACTGCAGCAGTTTGGGGTCAAAAATCAAGAGCTTTGGTGGCTAAAAGAGAGGGTGGACTGGTACTGAGAAACAGGTCCAGCCTGGTGTTTCCAACCACAGAGAGGACCCGCTGCGTCAGCAGCACCTCAGTCTCCCGACAGGCCGACTCCTGGGACAATATTCTCATAAAGCCTAGAGCTAATGGAGCGTTTTCATTCTGGGGTCACTGAGGGTTTAGTGTTCCTCCTCAGCCTGATGAGAGTCAGTGTGTTTCCTTAGTTACAAACACATTTCCTGTTTTTAGCTGCACACATTACGGAAAAGTTCAGAACCTTTAAATGGCAGTGTAAAAAAACAACTACAAAAAAGTAGCTGTTTTGGTGTAAATACCTTTGATTTGATTTAATTTTATTTGTAAAAAATAAATACAATAACCACGTGTCAGTTGTGTGCTGATTTGTGTTGCTCTATGAAAAAAATTAAATAAAATACATTGAACGTTGTAGTTTTAATGAGACAAAATGTGTAAAAAGTTTAATTGAATATTTTCTTATGGTTCTGTAATTCTGTGAACCATAGATTCAAATAGTTTCAGGTCATTAAATAATCTGCAGATAGACATGGGATTACAGAAACAGGTTAGAGTAGAGCAGGACATGGGATTAAAACAGAAAGTGGTATTAGATAAAAAGGTGATATTAGAGCAGGGAATGGGATTAGAGAAACAAGTGGGATTAGATCAGGAAGTGGGATTAAGATAAGAGATAAGATAARATAAACCTTTATTGTCATTGTACAGAGCACAATGGACATAGAAATTAGGAATTAGAGCAACAGGTGGGATTAGATCAGGAGRTGGGATTAGAACAACATGTGGGACCAGAGCTGCAGGTGGGATTAGAGCAGGAACTGGGATTGGAGCTGCAGGTGGTATTAGAGCAGGAGGTGGGATTAGAGCAACATATGGGATTACATCTGCAGGTGGGATTAGAGCAGGAAGTTGGATTAGAGCTGCAGGTCGAATACGAGCAGGAAGTGGAATTAGAGCTACAGGTGGGATTAGATCTGTAGGTGGCATTAGAGAAACAGGTGGGAYTAGAGCAGGAAGTGGGATTAGAGTAACAGGTGGGATTAGATCAGGAGGTGTGGTTAGAGCAACATGTGGGATTGGAGCTGCAGGTGGGATAAGAGCAGGAAGTGGTATTAGGACAACAGGTGGGTTTAGAGCAGGAAGTGGGATTAGAGCAACATATGGGATTAGAGCAACAGGTGGGATTAGAGCAGGAAGTGGGAATAGAACAATGAGTGGGATTAGAGCAGGAAGTGGGATTGGAGTTTACCTCCAGTCTGGTGCGGTCGACATCTCTGGGAAGCTTTACTTTGACTTTATGTGTCACAGCCAGCACTTCGTAGGGGTAGACCTGGCACACCAAAGGCATTGTGGGAGATTTCTCAGTCAACAGAATATTTAATCTGCCAGTAAGGCTGAGCTCATGTGTGGCGTTCAAACAGATTCTTACCTTGTACTCTGAGAAGAAAACAGCAGAGACAAAACAAAACAGAGAGAAAACATTGAATCTGGTGAAACATGGTTTAAACATCAGATGTGTTAGTGAACATTGCTGATTCAGCATTCCTTCAAACATCAAATTGTTCAGTTCATTCAAATGGAACCACACCTGGCTTTATAACTTTATGGTTTACAATATATTTATTTACAAATATTTTTTCTACAGAAAAGCCTTGAGATTTCTTCAAGTCCACTGAAAAACTATTACTC